ACTGGAGGAAAACGGGGCCGATCTCCTGATTATTCTCCCGTGGTTCCTCCGGAAATACTCCCGCGCGTCTCTTTTGCCTTCGTGGATGTTCCCCAATCGCTCCGGTTTATCGCTCACTGGCGTTCATTGGCTGTTCGAGGAGTGACGCAGGCAGCCTTGCCGCCGTGAGGCCGTTCCCCACAAACCAAGATGGTGCACACCAAGCCGGTGCAGTGAGAATTGTGCGAAGCGTTAGGCCGCGTTGAAGAAAAAAACACTGTTCTGAACACCTCCTGGATATCACAAGCGACAAGCAGCAACGAAGGTTATCAACGACAGAAGGAAGTTGTGCGAACGGTAATCGTGTGATGGTTCCTGGCAGTGAGCTCGTGAGTGTTGTGATCATTGTGATCTGGTGAGTGTTGAGGGACCCGGTGGTTGCTGGTGCGGCGAAAAAAATGGTGAGTAAGCTTTTCCTAAAGTATCTGTGTTATTTTTGTACCAAGATTGGATAATTTTTGGCTGATAAACCAATCATGTGATCATCATTTCGCTAATTTCCCAAGAAATCAGTGAAAAATCAGCGGAATTCCGATAATGCGTTGTTTGGCCTACGTGTCTTTCTTTCTTAATATAAATTCGGTAAAGCAAAACGTAGAGGTGAGTGAGTTGGTAGTGATTCATTATGTCGTAAATGAAGCGCAAAAAAGTGAACGCCACAATCGCTTATGGTTGTTCACTTTCTTGTACTCGTCCTGTTTTGCGAGGCTTGCCTTCTGTAAATTGAATGAAATCGCTGTAAAATTTGGAGTGCTGATTAGATATGCAACAATTCAAAATATAATACTTTTATTTTGATTCTATCAAACGGTAATAATTGTTTTAGGTAAGCCTATCTGGTTAAAAGATAGTTTTGCTCTTGTCAGTACACATAAACGGTAACATTTGTCTAGTTTAATTGTCAATAAATGCCAGGTCAAGGTCTACCACTGCGTAAAAATTATTTTGATAGAATATGTAAGCCGAAATAATAAAACTTGAATAACTAAAACCAGTGCTGGTTCTTTATAAATGTGGTAAATTGAGGTAGGGCATTGTAAAAGGTGCAGATATTTAGAAAGCATACACGCACTCATACTTGTGAAAAAGTTATTTTGGTAGGATAAATGCTTTCTGAGATAATAATATACAAGTATACTAGGCTCTTCGCGGGACGTGGTGCTTTCAGGAAAAGAAAGAGAGGGGTGAAACAAACTGACAATACTAGAAACGAGGAATGCAAAAAAAAAAAATCGGCGAACCCCACGTACCTGGGAATCGACGTAATGCGTAGCATGCGGAGGGAAGGTGACCGTGTAGCAATCTTTTTATTGACCGACACGTCATGAAGTGACGCTAAATATATGTACATATGTTGCACGCAAAGACATATGTTGAAGAGTTGCAGATGTTTATATAAACAGTTGTTTGGGCTTGCTCAACGATGCCAATCGGAACATTCGCGTTAGCAACACCAGAATATTATATGAAGCGCTGATGCTCGCGAGTATGCTGGCCCTGGACGCTCTACATAAATCAACTTTAGCGCATGGCAACTAACCACAATTGACATTAACCCGACGGGACGGCTGTATCAAAGGAGTAAAAATGCTATTTTTTATAAAATTACACAGGCATCACTGCAGTCACTATTGATGTTTCACAAAAATTAGCGTTTATTTAAAAAATAGTTCCGTGACCTGGCATAGCTCTGTGGTAGAATGCTTGATTACCACGCAGAATTCTCGGGTTCGATTCTTGCTGGGACCCTGAAATTTATGAATTGCATTCGTCGGATCAACGTTGCCGATGTCAGATTTTTCTTCACGCTCAACGTTAAAATTGCCCATGCGTGTTTTCGTCGTTCCTGCGTAGATACTAAGTGGCAATCACCTGTGGCACATACCCGCATACCAGCGGCACATACCCACCCGCGGATATGTTCCATTCTCTGGTGGCAAGTGTTTGACGACGTACGCGATAGGATTGTGGCATTATTCATATCTTGACCAGCGCGTCATATTCGTCAAACCATCTCAACCTCCCATGCTCATTTTCGTTCACGCCAAGTTAAGGGGGTGACTACAAGAGCACCCAAACGTAAGCGGATAGATAGATAGATAGATAGATAGATAGATAGATAGATAGATAGATAGATAGATAGATAGATAGATAGATAGATAGATAGATAGATAGATAGATAGATAGATAGATAGTTAGATAGATAGATAGATAGATAGATAGATAGATAGATAGATAGATAGATAGATAGATAGATAGATAGATAGATAGATAGATAGATAGATAGATAGATAGATAGATAGATAGATAGATAGATACGCTCAAAGTCACCGAATTTCGCTTAGAAATGCTTCGCACTTGAAAAAGAGCACATGCTAGGCAGAACAAGTCGTGCAGCGCCAGACGTTTCTGTTAACCATGCAGTTACGTTAACCCATATGATAGCCCGGCTCAACATTTAAGACGGAGGGGACATTCTAGCGAAAGAAATAGAGAAAGGAGAAGACACCCTTTCATAACTAGCCGTATTTCCTGAAGAAATGTTGATAATGGGAGAGTATCATCCTTGCTGCTGCATTTTTTTTTCTCTTTTCAGTCATGCTGCCGTGGCTGTGGCTGCAGTTTTTTTTTTTTTGAGGAAGACGGGAGCGCGAACAGTGCTGAAACGTAGTTTTGACCTTGAAAATGCAAGGGCACTGGCTTGTGAACAGAAAAAGGGCAAAGAACATTTCTTCAAACCTGGGACACTCGCCGTGACGCTTGCACGTGCATCACCTTTTGTGGCCTCCGAAAGTGTGCACGGACCTTTCAGTTGAGAAAACTGGTCGGCCTTCTCTTATTTCCGTGAAAAAGATCGATTGGTTGATTGATTGATTGATTGATTGATTGATTGATTGATTGATTGATATGTGGGGTTTAACGTCCCAAAACCACCATTTGATTATGAGAGACGCCGTAGGGGAGGGCTCCGGAAATTTCGACCACCTGGGGCTCTTTAACATGCACCCAAATCTGAGCACACGGGCCTACAACATTTCCGCCTCCATCAGAAACGCAGCTGCCGCAGCCGGGATTCGATCCCGTGACTTGCGGGTCAGCAGCCGAGTACCTTAGCCACTAGACCACCGTGGCGGGGGATCCCTCATCATTAGTAGCGCTGAAGTCGCAACTGTGCTTTCACATTACACGACGCTAACCTTGGCAAGCCGACCAAAATACAGGCTTATGATTATTCCCAAGCTACCTTATACGGCGCACTCCTGGTATTTACACACAACGTGTGAGCGCTCACTTGGTGTACATATTGTGTGTTGTCATGTCTTTATTGTTATGGGGTGCTTAAACGATTTTCATGCCTGTGTATATAATGGAGCCCTCACTCGAGCACGTCTTCTATGATGTTAAGCAACTGCATGAAACTCCAGCTTTAATCTCTATTGGGCGACACTGCTATGTGAGGATTACCATTCTTATCCTATTTATATACCTTCGAAAATGCTGTTTTGATTTGGCGAGCTTATGTAGTGTATAAGCACGAGTGACTTGTGGGTACACCTTATTCGGTTTTGATGACGCCCGTAAAAGAAACGCAATATTTTTGCCACGTTATGAGTAAGCTAAACAAATCGTATGAAAGCCTTCTGCAACAAAGGTTTTTGAGGCCAGCGCACAGCCTGGGTGGCATTCCTAGCCTCCCTCTGCCTCTGAGGAAGGAGTGTTTCGCCGTAAACAAATAATGAGCATAGGTGTCTTTATGAAGTAGTCAAAGCCCTCAGCAAGAGTCCTCCCCCAAAAAAAAAAAAACTCCTGGCTCTGGTTGAGGTAATACCGGGAATGAAAAATGAAAAACAAAATTGTTTCTGCCACACTAATACACCGTAGTGTGACAATGACTTCCTTTTTTTCTTCAGGACGATCGCATGACGTACATTCATGCTCAACCCCTCCACAAATAAACACCACATCACCGGTTTTTTTTTTTTTTGTGGCTCTCAAGCCTCAGCAGGCCATTGATATGTTTAGATTCTACACATGTTTCTATTCCGGGGCTGTAAAGACATCAATCAGTCGCGGAGTGATTTGCTTTACTCATACCGCCACTGATTGATAGTGGAACTGATTGGCCCTGTCGGTGCGAGTATTATGTGGGGTCATTTCGCATGAGATCGGGTGGTTTTGGTAAACAACCTGAACATCAGTGTACGCAAGGCATCTAAGCTACCGCAAACGTATCTCGAAAAAGTTGGGAAGCAATATTGTACAGCCAACAGCAGTAAAAGTACTTTCGCACATATTTCTTCAGTAGGGGCGAAGCACCTTAAGACCCCACAATGTCCCTCCGTCCATAAATTGAGATCTGGCATCTACAGTAGATGTAGCACAGGTGCATGCAAAAAAAAACTGAAACATCTGTGAAAAACAAAAGGGTTAAGAACAGGCTATTAACTAAATCAAACAAAATAGAACGCCATAATGACGCAAAATGCAGGCAATCAACCACCTATCAATGATGCCATACGGCAGAACAAAGGGTTAACGAGAACAAAATAAAAGGCTGTTAACCAGAACAAAATAGGCCAAGACGCCATAAAACCGACAGGGCGGAAACGCAACGATTAAGCTACTTCAAAATTAAGGGCGGAGCAAGCGGCGGTCAAACGTCAAAAGCGTTGTCTACCGGTGGCTGAGACTGATTTGCATGCGTGAGTGGGCAGTGTCATCGGTGATTTACGGTAACACCAAATGATCCCCCAGTGTTATGCCCACACGTCGGATTAACTTCTAGTATATGCGTGGATTTTTTTATGCACTCGTACAGGTTTTAGTTGAGGAAGCGCTCAGTAAACCACACCTCTGCTTTGCCAATTAGACTCGCGTCCGGTTGCCAAGTTATCACGTCAAAAATGCTACTCCAGCGGTATAGCTTCGCTAGCAATGATCCTGGGAATCGAAGCACCTACCTCGAATCCACGGCGTGGTCAGCCATTGTTATTCGATGGATCGCTGCGAGAGCCGCAGATGAGGCCGCTGCTTTTGCGGACCCTTCCTGCCTCGGGACGGTCCACCACTTGGACTGCGGCTCTGTGCTCAACTTCGGAAAGGAGGAGGGCGACCACGAAAACGTACGAGACGCAGTCCCAGAGGCGGCGGTCGCCGGACGCAGCTGTCTTGTGTCTGGCAGCCAGACGGGACGGCGTCAAACGGCGGCTGTCTTCTCCACCAAGTGCGTGCGCTGCGGCGATGCCTGCTGTCGGAGCACGTCAGAAGGGGGAGCGAGGAACCCCGAGGAGCCACGTGCGTTGAGGGCCACTGCTTGCATTTTGCAAGCAGCAATCCCTCGTGGGGGAGGGAGGGATGGGCGGGGTTTCTTGCACGATGACAGCCATTCCGTCCTGGGCGGCACGAGCGACTCTAGGGTAAAGCGCTACTGGGGGTGGCCCTGGACGCAAACAGAACAAGCAAATGACGTCGCGCTGCGTTTAGGCTTGCCGAGCAAGCAACCCAATCTGCTACAATGCTGTTATATAGCACGCTCGCAGCGTACAGTTTCATCAAGACAACAAGCAGCTGAAGATTTTGTAATCGGAACTGTTTTTTCTGCTGACTATGTGCTCGAATGTCCAAAGTACAGCGGCCACCTCGGTGTGGCAATGCACCGACAACACAAGGACTGCGTGGTGTGCGTCGCGCTCGGTGCCTCTGCTCTCCAGTTAGAGGGGAAATCTTAGTCCACGGTTGCATCAGTCAAAGAATGTGAACGTATAGTAGGGTAGCGCACCGTATTATAAAAGGTCGTCGTACGTGAGGGGGGTCGGGGGCTGTTTTTGATGCGATGTATTTTTCGTGACAGTTTTAACGCGAAAACGTTAGAGAGCTTGTGTCGCTAAAATTTCGCCGTCGGCACCATTGGTCGCGAGTGAAAAATTGTTTGTGAGCGAAAAATCAAGAAAGAAGCAAATAACACAAAGAATGAAATCGTCGGTACCAGTGAGGATCGAAGCCGGGCCGTTTGCGTGGAAAACAGGTGTCTTACCACAAACCTACCTTGTCACTTGCAGTTGCTTAGGGAAAAACACTACATAAATGCCTTGTAGAGGAAGGAGTCTCCTTAAGCACTTTGTTCGACAGGTGTCACGTCGAAAACAAGGCCATGCGGCGATTTGTAGGCGCATTTCGGAGGCCATCAAACTACGTCGAAAAAGGCCGGGACGCCTCTAAAAACACACAGGAACTTTCAAACGGCTTTGAAAATGGACAACTATGTCCATCTAACGGAAAACATACCATGCCTTTCCAGAGGCGTTGATCAAGGAAACAGCAAACGCTAGATAATGTGCTGCCATCTGTGATGCATTGTGAGACTCTTTATGGCCTCTCCACAGCCGTGTGCATTTGGCGCACACACCGCCGTGCGCGCCCGATCCAGGCGGCCGTGGCCTCTCAGATGGCAAGCGCACGGCGTCTATCTTGGAGGCCATGCAACTCTTGCTTTAGATCAAAAACCTGTATGTAAGATTCGCAAGCGCTTGTGTGTGTGTGTGTGTGTGTGTGTGTGTGTGTGTGTGTGTGTGTGTGTGTGTGTGTGTGTGTGTGTGTGTGTGTGTGTGTGTGTGCGTGCGTGCGTGTGCGTGTGTGTGTGTGTGTGTGTGTGTGTGTGTGTGTGTGTGTGTGTGTGTGTGTGTGTGTGTGTGTGTGTGTGTGTGTGTGTGTGTGTGTCACATCTGTCAGACATAGTGAAAAACCTGTCTCGACTACAACAGAGCGCCGTTCTAGCACAGGAAAGTGGCCACACTGCACAGTCATTGCATTACTATAAATACGTCGCGCTTGCGCGCGCGCGTGTGTGTGTGTGTGTGTGTGTGTGTGTGTGTGTGTGTCATGTGTGTGTGTGTGTGTGTGTGTGTGTCATGTGTGTGTGCGTGTGTGTGTTTCTGTAACAAAATATATTAATAAGTAAGCGCTTAGCGGTTAAAGAGCGCACTAGAGATCGGATTTCGCTATCGCGTTCAACTCTTAAAGGCGAAGCTTAAGGGTTGAACCCCAATTTATTTCATAGTTTATTTTTACTTTTCTTATGAATGTTAGCAGCTATAGCTATATAGCTATGCGCAGGATTCCCAGGCTATGTCTCCCCGTTTGTCATATATATATATATATATATATATATATATATATATATATATATATATATATATATATATATATATATACGTAGAGCAGTATCCGAAAGCTAGAGCTCCGCATGGTCCCCTGTTACGTGGCTTTGGCGGGAGCTTGTCACTTGACTAGTTGCTATGTGACAGTTAGTCACGTGAATACTTGTTACGTGACGTTACGTGGTTGTTACTTCCTTGACGATACGTTACGTCATTTTGATACCATCCTACGTGATCACTACTCACTCATTTTAATCACGTGAGTAGTGATCACGTTCAGTACAATGTGTTCACGGCTAGTTGGTGTAAATCCATAGTGGTGTTTTTTTAGCGCAAAACAACGCCACAAAAGACAAGACAGGACACAACGTTTTGTCCACTCTTCTATCTTGTTGTGTCATTTCGGGCTAAAAAACCACGATGAGTTATTACGTGACGTTTTGTCATGTCCCGCGACTATAGCTCTTGCATTGTTTTTAGCGGGAACAAGTTACGTCACTGCCTACCTGTTACGTGGCTTTGTCGAGAACACGTTACTTGACAAGCAGTTACGTGATGTTACGTAATTTTAGTCCCGTTACTAGCAGTTAGCATAACGCACTCGTAGATTATAGTTATTGCATTCCATAGCGAGACAAATTGCCAAACTTTTAAAGGGAGCGAATTGGACGAAGAAGCGCACGAAGTGAGCACGTGCCGGTTCATGGTGGTAGTAATTTTTGGCCAATTCTCTTGATTGAGTAGGTGGCAAATTTTCAAAGAGCTTCATCATCATCTTCATCAATTTCTGTTCGCAGTACCGAGCACAACAAAAAGCTTTCCTCATCGAATTAAAAGCTTTTTCAGACATATCTTGATTTCCGTTGCCCTCTATGAAATAGCACCGCCTGTCATTCTTCACTCATCCTTGCTTCAGGCATGAACAATGAGAATGGAAAAGCTGAGTAGCTCAGAAGTGAACATGTACAAACCCAGTCGATTGCGACTTGCTTTTATTGATCAGCAGCGTTGCGGCGTGATGTCTAGCAACCATCATTCATATTAATGTTGAATCCAGAAATTGCAGTCTGCCGCAGACGGTGCGGCATTTCTTCCGTTGTTGAACTCGAAGTTGCAGGTTCAATCTCCTCTTCGGTGCCCGTACGATAGTGACCAAATTCAAGAGGTCTTGATTTAAATTAGGGTTTTATATCAAATTCAATTAGGGTTTTTTTTAGCAGCTAGGCGCAGGATGCTAACAATCACTTAACTGATTCTACTAACTAGCAAACACAGCAAATATTTGTAAGTATTATATGTAATTTTTGTCTCTCTAGCCATCGTTACTTTTTTTGACACGTCTCTTCCCTGCTGTAGCGACAGAAAGAATGCGCAAAGATCTTAGAAACATTTAAACTGTCCGCCTCAGTGCCACCACAATAGCTACGGCTCTCGACTGCTGACTCGAAGGTCGCGGGTTCGATGCTGGCCGTGGCGGTCACATTTTGACGCAGGCGAAATGCTAGAAGACCGCGTACTGTGTGACGTCAGTGCACGTTAAAAAACAACGGACTGTTAAAATTTTCGTAAACTCGCCCACCCCCCCTGGCATCCCTTATAATCATAGCGAGATTTTTGGACGTGAAACCTCAGATCTTAATAAGCGAACTACCTTCAAAATGGGCTCTTATTTGGAGGCTGTTGCCCACTGTTAGTGTTATGAAACCTAACAGAAAATGATGCCAAGGAAAGTGTGTGGGATGTCATCAGAAGTACCTCTAATGTAGGTTTGGAAAAATAAATGTGTAAAAATAATATAACAAGTGACTGACAGGGACTGAATCAGCAACCTTCGAATTTGAAGGTGACAGGTGGGTTTCCTTTTCGTCACCTTTCTTTCTTGACATTTTCATTGAAGGTACTTCTGATAACATCCCCTTTACTTTCCTGTGCATCATTCTCTGTTAGTTCTCATTAGTAGTGTGTCTAAAAAAGAAAACGAGCCCTTACGTGTACACTTCTCTCCTTCACTGCTAATGGTGGATATAGGACAAAATCGACTAAAATGTGAATTTTCTATTTTCATAGCAGAATATTACAGCTTTACCGAGAAGTGCTTCCATGAAGTGACGCGTTTTCACGCGTAGTAGAGATCATTTAAAAATGACACCAAACGTGCCTTCTCTCTTGAATGCACTGCAGCAGCTTGAACTTCAAATGGTGTTTTCTCCAAGCTCCGCTTTTCATCAGAAAAAGGAAAAATTTCTCTGTAACCACAGCAGCTGCTGAGTGCAAAGTTTCGTGACTTCTTTCTGAGCAATATGCGGTCTTTGTGAAGCAAAAAAACTAATGGTGTTGCCACCAGGACTGTATTTTTTTACGAAAGCTTTTCTTCATATAAAACCAAAACAAATCTTGTCATTAAACATCTAAACTTCTAACTAGATAATTTTTATTCTCTAGCGCCTAAACTATAGCCTAAACATAGTAATTTGGTCCAAAATGATACCATGGGCACATGTATTAACAAAAAAAAAACGATTTCACCATTCTACACTCAAAAATGTTTTCTCAAATGTTACTTTCAAAAAATAATAAATAATTTAGTTTTTGTTATAATGAGATAATACCAATGCATTTTTTCGCCAAACTCACAAAACGTCAAGTTACATCTCCATTCAAGGAACTTGTAAAATTTGGTGGAGTTTTCATTCAAAACAACAGAGTGATGGGCAGTAGTAGTTGCGCACATCTCTTTGCTATCCAAACTGGTAGTTACGTTATGTGCTACATTCGTGGTCAGGTTCTCTTCATTATGTTAGATTGAGCCTAATTTAGCGATAATGTATAGGAGCTGGAAAATTATGACGACACCAGGAATACAAATGCCCATGATTTTTTTTCTTTAGCGCTTCTTTTTTTTTATCGCAAGTCTCTGATGACTTTGTCGTGTTGTCATTCGCCGCGCCCAACGAACGCATGGCATACGTGCGCAGACGGTACATGCAACAGGTTTCACCATTGTACCATTTTATCACTAAAAGGCAGCTTTTGGTGTCATCATACTGTTGTAAGTCTCTGATGTGCCCCCAATGCTTGAACGTCATCTCTCAAAGTATGCCATCTGTCACGATCGCC